ACGGTGCTGTTCATGACCCGAATTGGTCGTGAACAGAAGCGTTCGTGACCCGAGGTACCACTGTACTTAGAAGATTTTGTTTCAAACATCTAGGCTACTCTCTTCAATAGTTTGGTACTAAACATACCAAAATGGTCCAGTGCTTTGAAGCTACTACAGCTGGCAGATCTTGTGGCTAGCAGTCCTGGAAGTGAATTTCGTACCATCAGAGTGTTTACATCGGGGTGGACATTTTTTTTTTCTGCCTGGGAATTTAGAATTCATTGTTTTTTCAATCTCCCAACAGCTGCAGGGGTTTTTGATGCTGATGGCAGTGGAGTGGGAAGGCCTCCCTTTTCCTAGGGTTTTGGGGCAAAATTAGTACTTTAAGATTACAGCAGCCATTTTGCTTCCTCAAATGTGAAAAATTGCACCACAAACCCTTAGTTCTCTGGTCCTGCAAGATAGCATCCCATCATCTTGAAAGAAAGGAAGGCACTGAATTGGATGTAAGATTCTTTGGTCTCTCTGTAGCTATTCAGTTCACCAGAGAGCCTTTGCCTAGATTCAGTGCCCTGCCTTCCATGCTAATGGAACAGAGTCAGGACCACCCCAGTGCAAGAGCATTTATACTTGACTGGGAATTGGAGTTTGTTATGTGTATGTTGCTGTGCTATCTATTATATGTGGCTTGGTGTATAGATTTAATAACACCATATCTAATTGCCTAGATAAGTAAATGAATGAGAACATTCTCCTCTTACTAGCTGATTTGTGTTTAGAAAGTTTGTCAAGTTTTGCACCATAGCTTTTGCCTGAAAACATAATGGTTAAAGTTTTTTTTCTCTCTCTCATCTATTATTTCAATTTATATGGCTGACCATTTCAAATTCATGACGCTGGGCAGCTAACAACAGTTAAAAACTTCACAAACCACATTATAAAAACAACACACACATAATCAGCAGCCAAGATTAAAAAAACAGCACCACCCCCGACAAATCAACATAACCACTGCACAGACTCTGCCATACATCTGGATCCCCAGTGACAAAACCATGTCTTTAAGGCCTCACAAAAGGCCGACAGGATCAGGGCCAGTCTAATCTCGGGGTGGGGAGGGGATGATGTTCTAAAGGGAGGGTGCCATGGCAGGAAAGGCTGCCTTCTTGGGTCCTGTCAGATGGTACTTTGAAATAGACAGGACCCAAAGCATACCTCTCTTGCTGGACTAATGGCTCATGTCGATATAATTGGGTAGAGACGATCCCTCAACCGAGTCCCATGCCATGAAGGGCTTTATAGGTCATTACCAGCACCTTGAATTGAACCCAGAAACATACTGGCAACCAATGCAGCTCATGGAGCAGAGGTGTAATGTGCTGATTGAAGGCAGCATATAACTACCTGCATGTAATAGAAAGAAGGAATAACCTTGAGGAACAAAAGGGGCTGCAACCAAGATACTATTCAGATAAAAGAAATCTGAGTCCAGGGCAGAAATGCAATTTGTGAAAGCATCTCAGACGTGACCCTTCCTTCCCCATTCAAGCCCCATAGCCTCAAGACACCAAGATAGAACCTCCACGGCATCACTTGGGCAGCCAGGGATGGAGATGTACAACTGGATATCATCAGCATACTGATGATGCTTCACCCCGTGCTGTTGGATGACCTCACCCACTGGCTTCATGTAGATGTTAAAAAGGAGCAGAGAGATTACCAAGCCCGGTGGAACACTGCACAGCAAGGGACAAGGGCTGGACCGCTCCCCACCAATCAACACTGACTAGAACCGGCTCTGGAGGAAGGAAGAGAATCAGCACAACGCAGTGCCACCCCTTTCCAATCCTTGGAGCCTATCCAGAGGGATACCAGGATCGACAGTATCAAAAGCCATCTTGAGGTCAGGAAGAACAAGGATGGATGCACCACCCCACTCTGGCCAGAGGTCATTGAATAGTGCAATGTTGTTTCAATCCCATACCCAGGCCTGAAATCTGACTGCAAGAGGTCCAGACAAATCACTTCTTCCAGGATTCTCTGCTGCATGAGCACCCTCTACAATCTTCCCTAAAAATGGAAGGCTGGAAACTGGGTGAAAATTGTCCAGTAGTTACTGTTTGTTATTTCATTATTTTATATATCCATATTGCTTTCAAACTGACGTAACATTTATCTATTTTACCTAGTTGTTCCAACTCTTATTTTTATTCCCCACTAACTTTTGATTATGTGAATAGTGTAATAAATGGCTGTTTCCTGACCATAAAGTTATAATCAAGTATTCATGTAAATTTTAACAGAAATTTGGTAATGCAAAATGGGAAGTGGGTCTGGGAGCTACAGATTGACACTCCCGGTCTACAGAAACCAACTTTGGACATCTATGTGTTCCCTGCCAGTCTGCTTCAAATTGATTAGAAAGGCATGGAGCTATTCATTCCCTATTGTGTACACACTGAAATCTTAGTGCACCACCAATATGCTGCCAACAGTATGTTTTATTTCTGCTACTGACTGCATGCAACACTTCCCCTATTTGTTTGTTATTGCGTTGTTCCAGGATTATGGAAAGTGATCAAAACAAAACTTTTGTATTTCATACTAGGAAAAGAATTCCGGTAAATTAAACTATTGAAGTGTAATCAACAAATGATACAAGCTCTGGAGAAGGCTGAATTCAGATGCATTTTGACTCTGTACAGATTCACAATATCTTTCATTCTTCATAGCTTAGACACAATGCAGATTAGTCCTTTATATCTGAATCTGCATCTGAATCCCGAGAGTTGTATAGTAGTAAAAAATTCATACTTCTACAGAAAAGAAAGGGGGCCAAATTTGAAGCTCTTTAAAATGACCCAGAGCTAACGTCTAGTACGTATCTTTTCCTTTTACTGCAGGAATATTCCTAAATATTTGCAACTTGCCCTTCCATTGTGCTTTGGGACACAAGACAAAGTTGAACTTCTTGTCCTTTGTTTTAGCAAAATATATTGGGCTGGAAGAAATTGAGTTGGCTGACATGGTACAGAGTTTCAGCTATGTCAGAACTACCACTCCCCCCCCCCACCAACCCTTATTTTTGCTGGAGACCCACTGGGTGAAAGAATCTCTAAGCCATTATCAGTTGTCTCTCTGACTTTTGCAAAGGGTGCCTTGAATCCTTTTGTTCACTGACTTTACAAAGATGTGAATGCAAGAAGAGGGCAGAATTGAGAAACTAAAAGAAACAGGGTTTCTGTTCTGGGGGTGGAGAGAAATAAAGGCATATGGAAAACTACAAAGCAATAGTAAGGGAGGTTAGATGGGAATGAGGACAAGAGCAGGAGACACAGTCAGAATACTGATCTCTTTCCTTCCCCTGCCATTTTTCTTCAATCATTTCTAATTTGCCTATTCCATGTTTCTGAAAGGACAAGTTCATGGCAATATGTTCCTGCATTGGGAGGCAACCACTAGGCCAGGCATGGGCAACTGAGGAGCCAAGTGTGGCATGCAGTCCTTCAAGCCATCTCTTGCTACCATTTCTAAAAATTGGTGGCAGTTTTCGGAAATTTGAAGATAGGAAACACAAATTAATGTAGGATGTAGAATAGGTTTAACATGATTTAAAGAAAAGGGAAATCCCCAAACTTTTAGAAACCCAAAGGAAAAAAATCCAGAAAATTTTAATGCAAAGCACATGGGTTTGGGATTTTCTGTATTTTTTCCCCCAGAAAAATCACCCATTCCCTCAACTACCCAAAAATATTAGGTATCTTGCCTACCTGTCTGTACATGTCTGTAGACCATGTGATTTTCATTTAGCTACAAATGGTAAGCTCAAAGTAGAAGTTTTTAGCAGTTGGGAAAGGTCCCAAAGGTTTAAAGTAGCTTACAAGGTCAAAACAACATGGGTCAGCCCCAACTGGCTTACAGCAGTTAGGGTGAAAGAGGAAGCAATCCATTCCCATGACAAACACCCTCTCATGAGATGGTTCTACACCACATGCTTCTGAACAGAAATGTGCTTCCTTTATTGAAGTCATGATTCTGGATAAAGCCTAAAGTCATGATTAAATCAAACACATTACAGCAAAAGTACAGTTATTTTATTAATAGCAACTTATATTTTAATTCCAAACTTCATATGGGGCAATCTTAGTTTACAATTTATTTCAGACCATGAAGCAAAATTTGCCACATTGCCCTCTTCTTAAGGCTTTAGAACAATGCTCCCTAGCAGTGGCGACTGCCAGATGTATGGACTTCAACTCCCATAATTCTCAGCAAGGGCCACGCTGGCTGGGGAATCACAGGAGTGGGTCTGCGCACCTGGAAGTTGCCAAGATTTGGAGCCACTGCTTTAGAATAATCTAATGAAGTTACAAGGCAAATTGGCTAGAACTCAATTAGGTAAATCAGCAGTTCTCACTTTTCCCCTCAACCAAGTACTTGAAAAATACAGGGTGGCTATGGATCACTGAAAATGGTTTATTCTACAAATCAAAGCACAAGTATAACTAATATTTTAATAAATGTAATCTTGCCTTTAATGGATACACCTTTTTAATGAGTGAAGGACTATGATGCCAGGTATAATCTTTGTCAGTTTTAGCTTTGAGATCAGTTTCACTGTTTATCCTCCTTCTGTATTTGAATTTGAAGACAGCAAGAAATCAAAATCCCATCTTACACAGGTAAGAGCCTTGCTTAAAACAGCCTCTCTCTGTTACCCAAAAGTTCAGTCAAATGGAGGGCTAAATTCCGAATACAGGTACTGACTTCATCTGTCTCAGAACTGTACAGAATAACAGAAAGTTGCTCATAGGCCAGAGTTTCAGAAGCTTTGGATTATACAGTAGCTGTAAAAAACATACTAATGAAACAATCACCAACAAAACGAACATGATTGGTACGTGAAAGAACAGGTGTTAGGATAAGAAGGTAAATGCAGCAACAGTTCTCTAAGAAAGAAATGCATGAAAAAAAAAAAACCACAGGCAAAACATTGCTGCCTGATAAAACAGAGTTAACTTATAGCAGTTTAATTTTTTCTCTAGCTGTGCCCATGACAAGATTTTCCATCCAGAGATGTATATTATTTCCCAACCCGTTTTGCAAGCCAGCTAACCAGCACTTTTTAGTGCCCAGGTTTTGTACTTGTTACTTTTGCCCTCAAACATTAAAATGTCTACACTCCTTGTCTTAACCAGATTGCTAGAAAAATAGGTATGATGCCAGACTAGGCAGCCACAGCCATTTACCTATACCCAGCAGATGGCTGGTCTGAACGTTTACATGAAATGGAACCAATTTCTCTTCTGCCAGCTTACTTCCTTGTGCTCCATTGCTTTAATAATTTACTCCCAGCTCATCTACTATCTTGGAAATAAGCTGAGTTCAGAACATTTTTTCTAGTAACAGAATATAATAAGATAGATGAATATGGATACTGCTTTCTTAGCGCACTCAACATGTGATGTAAAAACAAACATTCTACCAACTTTAATTAATATCCTTGTTGCTGCCTTGTTCTCATCTAATTTGGTCTGCCCCCGATTCTGCAATGTTAGGTTCAAGCCACAACAGTATTAATATAGGTAGCTAAAGGCCATTTCACAAACTTGTTGCTGACTTACTGTGTTGGGATTGGTCTGAGAACTGCTAATCTGCACGCTCATAGTTACTGGAAATTCTAAACAATGCAATTCAACGTACCCAGAAGGAACCAGATGGAGAAGTCTTTTCTATTGCTTTCATTAAAAACATATTCTTTTTAAAAAAAATCCTAAATATCTCAGCCCACTTGCATTTGAATTAGAATTCCATTTGAAATTTCAGGAGACTGGCTTTTGCAAATTTTGCAGCACACTTAAAACTCAGTAATTTCTGTCCATTTTCAGGCGGAATGCAGGCTTCAGAAAGTCTTATTTCAACATTCATTCCAAGAATGAGAACTTTACGCTCCCCACTTTAATGATGTGAAGCTTAAAGTTAGTAGGCAATATTTAGAGAAACTGACAGATACATTTGTAAAATATATTTTAAAAAACCCAAAACCCTCTCTTGAAGATTCCTTTGAAAATCCAACAAGCTTACTGCTAAGTATATTTGAATTTAGTTGGATGAGTTTCTGAGATTGTATCTTTATTTTAGATTGCATGCATTTGAACTGAAAAATTCCATGTAGCTTAACAAGGTTCACATAGAAGAAATGGGAAAGCCCACGCGGATAAATAAAGATAGCAAGGCAGCAAATCCTGCTAAATTTACAGAATTTCAATCATGCATTGCCTGTCTCTTTAATTTCAGTTATCTTTAACTCATATTTCCTTCCCAAAATAACAGTAATATTCCCTTCTATTTCTTCTGGCTCAAGTTTTAAGTGAAGTAACTTTCTCTTTATTTAATTGAAAACTTCAATCCCCAATTAATGCAAGAAAATTTATTTATGATTTATAGCATTCAGCATGTTAGGCTAGAAATCAATGTTTTGATTATGAGAATTGCTAGATTCCAAAAGAATACCATTAAAACAGTTGGAGAGGAAAGAACCTTCTAAAAGCTATATCTGCTTTAAGACTATTTAGGGAAGAATTCCAACAGAATGACCCCATGCTCCAGTGAAGGTTTTTTTTTGGAAAGAAATAAACTGGTCAATTTTGTTTCACTATCCCTAACTGTTATATTCAAGTTTCAGAAGAAACTCAAAGTAGCAGCATCTTCCCGGAATAGCTAATTTTGCTTGAATTACTTGGGTTTTTTTCCCTACTCACTTCAAATCACTTTGCCTATAAATTAATTTGCCTGCGAGCAGACCTAACTGAAAAGAACTCCAGTCTTTATCCCAACCACATTTTTCTACTCTCTCAGACTTAAAACACGACCATGCAAAAGTACCTAGAAATACAGAAAGAAGAGAGGCCACAAATTTGAAAAGTATAAAAGGCAATCTCTAAGAAAGCATATTACTGTATCTTGTTACAATGTAAGCAAGCATTCAAAAACATTACTTACTGAACTTAAAAAGAGAAGTGATGCTTCAATTCAACTTTCAACTCCTCAGACTTATTTCCTCTATTCCATTATTCTGTGAGCATAATCAACCATCCTTCCTCAATCAGTGACAGATCAGAATCACAAATTATCATCTCAGCCAAAAAAAAAAAAAAAATCTGATTAAGTCGTAATATATAGCTTCTCCGTAAATTAGGCTCTTAAATGGGATTTTCAGTATTTAGTCTCTTGCAAATAAGATTCATTATGCTATACAGTTAGTATTATCAGGGCCTATCTGATCTCGCCATCTGAACCAATTTGTTAAATCCAGACTTCATCATAATTAAAATAAGCAAGACCCAAGTCACACATCACTGGTTGCTAATCAGCCAATTCTAGCATGGCTATTCCCTTGCTACACTTAAACAAATTATTCATGGATCCTGAGGCCTAAAAATTAAGAAGTTTATTTAATATACACTAGGTTAATCAAGGGAGTTGCCAATGCATAAAACTATCTTCTCAATCAAACATTGAACATTATTTTAAAAGCAGTCCAGAATCTCATTTTGATTACCTTCCTTTCTGGATTAGATTTGCACAAATGTGAAATAACTAATCATGATTTACTCTTATTAACACATCACTATTTGAAGTTATCCTTGGGAACATCCAGAGTGACAGACTGGCCTTCACACGGCGATTAAAGAAAAAAGCATCCCCTGTTCTTTTTAACTATAAATGTTAGGTCACAGTACTAAAAGAGACCCAAAGAGATTATGGCTTTCTTTAGTCAGAAAACTAACATTAAATTACATTCTACACAAAGACTATGATCCAAAGAAACTTTGTCAATTCTGGGAAGACTGTGTGAATGACTTGAGACTCAGTTATTTTGACCTCAATAGCTTCCACTGCCAATGTTCTGTTGAAAGGAGAGAATTTTCCTAGAATGGTAAGAAAGTAAGAAAGCCCTGATTGCACATGTGCCACTCTACCTTGCATGTCAATATTGTTTCTTAGGGATTTTATCATGGGTAAATATGCTTTGCCCTGCTCACAACATAAAATAACAACAAAGGAGCCGATCAAGCGAACTTAATGGCATTTTGGATAGAATCTACAGTTCCTTCCTTAATCTAGAACTCAGATGCTTCAGGACTGAAACTCACTGAATGTAATTATGTACTGAAAGCATTTACAACAGTTGTATTTTAACATATGGATACATCAAGGGTGATTAATGTAGAAGCAGCGACAACTGAATAGGACGGCAGAAAAATGTTTTTCTGTATTTTGGGCTTCATAAACAATTTATAAGAAAAAGATTACAGAGTTTGGTCCACAATGACAACATTTTAGAACCAAGTCTGTACCAAAGCAATTTCTTGGCTATTTGGGTTGTTTTGGTTTTAAAATGGTCACTGATTATTTCTTCTGAGGCATTCAACAGTCTACCAAATAAAAGACTGTAAACTGATGTTTGTAATATCTAACCAAAAAAAGAAATTTAATCAGAATTTGGCACCTGATCTGAAACACTCAGCCGTGGCTGACGTTTGTCATGTAGTTCTCTTTTCCAAGACTTAAGAAAAGTTAATTTTTTTGTGACATATGTGAATGTATCTTATAATTCCATTCTAGGCAATTATGGTCACTTACATATCAAGATGTGTAAGAATCAAAATAAAATACAGAAGGCTCTTGTTCAAAAACAGTAAAAACCATCCCCATAGTATAAATGGCTAGTGCTTTTTTCTGAGCCATCCTGATATGCAACACTGATAGCAATCACTGATTTATTGCTATTTGTGATAAAATCAGATTTGAATGCCTAGTATACAAGCAACAGAACACTTTACAATGATCTTTAGTATCCAGAGCAACTCTTGGGTAGTATCTAATAAGATTAAAGCAGATTCCTGAAAGAATCAATTGTAAACATTGCAACTGTGCAGATTTCCCATACTTTGATTTCTCAAATTAAAAGGCAAGATTTTAGTAACAGCAGAAAACATAGTTCCACATTCATCAAAATACAAGAACATCCCTTTCTTAAAAGTAAGAAACATAGAAAGAAAGATAGCAGCACATTTTTTGAAACAAAATGACATGTGTTTCTGCATTAACCTCTCTCCAAAAACAAACAAACAAACCCTAAAACAAAACAAAACAAAACAAAAACCCCATTCAAAATAAAGTGCAGCACCCATGAAAAGAAGTCTTAAGAAAATTGCCATATTCTTCTCTTTGAAAGAAGTGTACTTGGCTTCAGTCTTAAGAGTACTATACTGTATCCATCATTTTAGGTTCTTCCTCCTCTCTGTGTACCACTAAACCCTGCAAACTGCAGCCTTGAAGTGACTCTGCATTCTGCAATGAAGAACACAACATGGAAGAAATCAATTTCAGACAAATATTTAATTTTAATCTTTGTTTTGTGTTGCGGCAGCTTTGTATTTTTACACCACGTATGGGACTTGTGGATGCTTTACTCAAGATTCATTGTCATCACATCTCAGACTATACTAGACTAAAGGCAGATAAGCTAATCTCCACAAGCAATGTCCCAGCCCCTGGAGCCCCTGAGAGTATGCTGTCAAAATTCCTGCCTGTGATTTCCCACCAAGAACCAGCAGGCAATGAATGAAAATAACACTTTAAGCTTCTGACAGATCCTACACATGGATTCAATATTACAGCCCTTTGCAAAAACAAACTGGAAAGGGGCGAGTAAGCAGGGAATAAGTGGAAATCCCTCCCTCAGTATCATTCTCCTGCCCCCTTTAGTCCTTCCCAAGGGAAAATATATCCAAAAGTTGGGCTGTGTACTGCAAAGTGCTTCCTTGACTTCGTGAGTCAAGCATGGGTTTCCTTCGTGAATGACTGCTAAGCAAGTAATTGCTCTTTTAAAAATAAACCAGTTGCCTTAGCACAGGAATTGATTAAATAACAGGAACTGACATGACACACCAAAAAGCTCTGCCTGGGAATGGCATTTTTTTTCTGACACTCCAGTAATAAACACGATTAAACAAAAGCTACCTGAGACGCAAGCCCTCCTATACAATTCAGATCAGTGTGAAATAAAGGATTCTGAACAGGCATAGCTTGACAATTTTGAGGCTGTGAACAAATCCTCACTCTTGATTTGAATGCTTCAAGTTCATTTTTAAAAGCTTCCAAATAGCCTTCATCCCCTGTCTGTCAAACAAACACAAAAGCAATTAAGTAACTCTCCAATTTCATTTTCAGTATCTTCTGCTAAAAAACAAGACATTGCAGCCAAGCAAACTGTAGCCTAAATATGGGATCTATATTAATACACAGATGAGCAGTTTTTCATATTTTTATACTTTTTTTTGTTCTATCTATGTAGTTTATTTTACTTTGGCTAATCATGGTGGAGGACTGATCACTGTGACAGATGGTGAAACCCTGATGAAAATCTTATTCAGCTTCCCCAGTGGCTTTTGAGGACGATGTAGCTTAAAACACAAATGTTCAATACAATCATAAGATTCCTAGGAAGCCGATTTTTTTTGCATCCACAGAATCTCTGAACAAACATACAACATCGTTGAAAATTACCATTACTTAGAAGTAGCCTTCTTCTTGCCCTCCATATCTTTTGTACTACAGTGCCCATAATTTCCACCAGCACAGCAATTCTGGAGGAGGCAAGAATGGGATAAATTGCCAAATGAAGAAAAACACCATCTATGTAGTGACTCTCTTCTTTCTCAATCTTAGGATATACTATTAGACTTGCAAACTATGTATACATTTTTGTCATGTTAGATATAGAGGTACTTTAAAATACTGAAGTATGCTTAGCTATAAAAAAACTATCAATTTCTCTCAATATTTCTCTTTTAACTTTTCTCTTTAATGTGTAAATTGTGTATTGCAAGAAAGCTGGATGTGGTTTATTATATGGATTTCCATGATGCTTTACTTCAAAGTTGGGAAGATTTCTTGCAAGCTTATTTTATAGCAAGACTCTGCTTGGAATTAAAATGCCCTGTTATCTGGGACCAATATGAACCTGTTGGGCATGAGGAAGTGGACAGGTTCCTTAGGATTGTGAACTCAGCCACCAGCTCTTTAGATCCATGCCTGTCTTGGCTAACTAAAGCTGCCAGGGGGTGTCATGTGGGTAGGTACTAGCAGTGAATTCTTCTTTGAGGTGGTTGTTCCTCTGCTCCTTAAGAAGGCGCTGATCCACCTCCTCCTCAAGAAACCATCACTGGATTCCACCATACTGAACAACTTTATCAAGTATCTAACCACCCCTTTTTGAGGAAAGTGATTGAGAAGATGGCAGCAGCTTCAGAGAACTCTGGATGAAGCGGACTATCTGGACCCCTTTCAGTCAGAATTCAGACCTGGATATGGCATGGGACAGAAACAGCATTGGTCGTGCTTTTGGACAATCTGTGGCAGGAGTGGGATGGAGGTTGTGCATCCATCCATGCTCTGACCTCTCAGCAACCTTTAATACCATTGACCATGGTATCCTTCAAATTGGCTACAAGGATTAGGGTGGTAGGTGCTGTATTGTGCTGGTTCTCCTCCTTTCTCTGGAATCAATTACAGTCAGTGGTGATTGGAGTGGAGAGATCCCATCCTCAGCCCCTACTTTGTAGGGTTCCGCAGGGTTCAGTGCTCTCATCCCTCCTATTCAACATCTACATGAGGCCCCCTGGGTGAACTCATCCATCGCCATGGGGTGAAGTATCATCAGTACTCTGATGATACCCAACTATACCTCTCTGCTTGTGGCGAATTAAGCAATGCTGTTGATGTCCTATCCTGGTGTCTGGAGGGGGAACAACAGACTTCAGCTAATCCTTGGGCAAGACTAAATGGCTCTGGATTTTGGAGCCCTCCAGCTCAGAGACTTTGCCATCTTTGGGACTGGATGAGGTTGCACTGCCCCAAACAGACCCACAGTGTGCAACTTGGGGGTCCTCCTAGATTTGCAACTCCTGCTCAAAGAGCAGGGTGGCAGTCATGGTGAGGAGGGCTTTTGCACAGCTTTGCAGTGTGCACCAGTTGCACCCATTCCTGGACTGGGAGGCTCTGCTCACAGTCACTCATGCCCTGGCCACATCCTTGGTGGACTACTGTAATGCACTCTACATGGGGCTGCCCTTGAAGATGATCTGGAAGCTTCAACTGGTGCAAAATGTGGCAGCATGGGCAGTTATGTGTGCCCCTAGAACGGCACACATTACACCTCTGCTCCACAAGCTGCATTGGTTGCCAGTTTGCTTCTGGGTCCAATTCAAGGTGCTGATTTTGACCTTTAAAGCTCTTCATGGCATGGGCTGGGTTATTTGAGGGACCGCCTCTACCCAATTACACCTGCCTGTCCCATCAGGTCCAGCAGAAGAGGTATGTTGTGGGTCCCATCTGCAAAAGAATTTCATCTGGCAGGACCCAGAAGATGGGCCTTTTCTGCCGTGGTACCCTCCCTGTTATCATCCCTCCTGAGGTGAGATTGGCCCCATCCTTGATATTTTTCTGGAAGTCCCTCAAAAAATAGCTGTGTCAGCAGGCTTAGGGATCTCAAGAAAACTGTGATCTAATGAAATGGCTGCATTTTTTTAACATCAATTTTTCTCTACTATCTTGTTATTAATAATATTGCTTGATGTCTTTTTAATTGTACTTGTTCTAATATTTTGATTTTACAGTTGGCTTTTATTGTGCGCTGCCTAGAGTCACTTTTTTGTGATATGGGCAGCTATATAAATATGATAAATAAAATAAAATAAAATACTTTTCACAATCCTCTATGTTCAAGACCATCAGCAGATAAATATTTTTCGACATCAGTTTCTTATGCCACGCTCAGCCCAAAGAGACTAAACTGAAAGCGTATATTCAGAATGGCCGAATATACCCTACAGCTATCAAAAGTCTTGTAGCATTTTACTCATATGCATTGAATTAAAAATGAGCTAATCCATATGATTATAAAAATACTACTAATTTAAATAAGTGCTAGTAATTAATTAAATGTTAAACTGCTTGAAGTCTCAGAAGTAAAGATGTGTTACAGAGATTTACACCGCTATTTTAAACACTAGGTCTCCAAGGAATTTTCATAGTGGGGAATACATCCATTCTGACCATCCACAATTAGTACAAGCACTGCTGACAAAGCAGATTTTCTCAGCCCTTACAATCTGTTCAAAAGGATGAATGAACATTCACGTTTTTGTCACCATGTAATCCATATTACATGAAAACAGCATTCATCTTTTTGTACATAATTTAGGATATAATCTTATACACACTTATTCTGTTAAACACAAAACAATACAAAAAATTAAAATAATATAATAATAAAAATAAATAAAAGCAATAAATAAATAAATAAATAAAATAAAAATAAAATAAAATAAAATAAAATAAAAAACGGGTCTCTCTATCAGAAGAAGAATCCTTTAGAACAGATTTGGGCTTGTGCTTGAGGAAGTAAAGAGAGATAAGAAGAAATGAAAAGTCCAATCACATATATAAATCTACTTATGTGTCATTGGGTAGCACCCATCATTTTTATTAATGGATTTGCATTAAAATGCCCTTTAGAAACAGTTTGCTCTCAACAGGTATTTGCTGAAGATGGCTACCACACTAACAGAAACTAAGCAATACAGCAAAACCCTATGAGACAACAATGTCCATGATTTCAGTGAGAACAGTCTTTAACAGAAGGAAGAAGATAGACAAAAACATAAGGTCCAATAGAAGGGGCAAGATCTGAATTCTGCCTATAAGGAAACAGCATCTGATGGAATCCTGGAAGTGCTGTCCTTGGCTGCCACTATACATATGTTATTGTGTTTTTAATTTATTTTTTAATTTTATTAGCCACCCAGAGTTACTGTTTGTAAGATGGGTGGCCCTATACCTTGACTGAAATAATGACAACAAGAACGATAATAACAATAATCACCAAACTATCTTTTGGCAAGGCATTTTAGCACCTAACTACCAAGGAGAAAGTCTGGCTAGGCTTTAAAAGGGATTCCTAAAACTTTTTAAAATAGCCCCACCCTCACCCCTCATGTTGAACAGAAAGCACCACTCACTTTGGCTCTTTGGAAAAATAGCCGAAAACATCCTCGGGGATCCACATTACAGCTCTTGGCCATTTCTATAATGAACTGCATTACCACAGCTTGATGAGCTACTTGTTCCATCAGAGCTCCTTTCTATAAAAAAATAATCAAAACAATCTGTGAGAAACAATCAGCATACTACATTTGCAGGCTAATAAACCAACAATTCAAGGTGCAATGAGGCCCATATTAATTGGAGCGAAACTGAGCCATACACTAGAAAACTCCTTTTGATAATCAAAATCTATCAGTTAACTGCCAAGGAGGCGCAATGTGGAATACAAGATTCCTATAACCTTTAATCTTTAATAATTCTTAGTTTTACAAATAATACTTGAAGATGTCAGTACATATTGGGTCACAGTATGTTTACAGAAAGACCTGCTATAGCTATACATATAGACCCATTTGTAGGTCAATATTTCCAAATGAGTCGCTGTACAGAAGTAGCTCAATCAGTCTGATTATGAAAACACATTAGACAATTGAATCATTATGACTGCAGTCATTAGTTTCCAGCTCAGAATAAAAAAAAAGTTCAAGGCTAATGCTTAATAAAAGAAGGGCAATTCAAAGCTTTTGGAGGACAATAATAATATTAATTTAAACCAAACACTACCTTTTAAAAATGTACAAATCAGTTGTTAAAACATTAATATAGCAATGTTACATACTGTAATTGATTTTGAGATTTAGGTTTAAAACCTAATTGCATCATCCATCCAAAAACTATTTATATAGAGATTATGTAGAGTTATGATACATTATATCTAATACTATATAAATGACTACAAAATCTAACTTTAATGTAACTGCTGATTTTATGATGGTTTAGTTAGCAAGTAAGAAACCATCTTAAACATATGATAAGCCTCTGCAGAGTATCTAGGTCTCAGCACTATACTGAAACAGTACGACTTAGCACTATATTAGAAAGTCAAAATATTTAAGACCAGAAGAAAATATGACACTGAAATTAGTGAATTTCCCAGCATGGACAACCTCAATGCAATGTAGGGTGAAATAGAAAAAAAGAAAGCTTTGCTCCAATTATGGCACAGTAACATTGAAATTATACCTGTTCTGCTTCTAGATGAAAACACCATAAAAGGAGATATTTTGCTGTTTCTTCACAGACAAGGTATGGGTGATCAGAGAGAAACCTCTGACTATCAAACCATCTGCTCAACATTCCTGAAAAATAATGAGATGCAACAAATAGTTGTCCTAAAACTGAAGAAATATTTGGTCACAACCAGGGCTGTGGAGTCAGCACATAAAACCTTCGACTCCGACTCCTTTATTCATGGTATCTCTGACTCCTTTAATTATATATCAATATAAGAAATAAATTATAAATATACTAATTATGTATTTCCTATATCGACTGCAAGCACACAACATACAAGGCATTTCATCACTGCCGACGTGAATGAGCAGGGAACTTTTTAGAACCTAACCTGTTAAAGCTTGGGTCTAAAGGCTATAGCTAAGATAGTCTAGTTTTTTTATTTTATTTATTAAAGAAATTACAAACATTCAGTAACCTTATAGTTTAAACAA